CGCCCCCCCCCCCCCCCCCCCCCGAGCGCACCCCTTCACCACCACCGCCACCCCACCTCTGCCACATCCTCTGCGCTCTGCGTCGACTCGGTGCCGACCAGCTCCTCCCACCTGCAGGGCAGCAGGGCAGCAGGGGCCAGGCGGGGCAGAGGGCGCGGCAGCATCGGCACCAGGCCAGCACCAGGCAAGGGCAGCAGGCGCCAGGCAGGGCAGAGGTCACGGCGGTATCGGCACCAGGCCAGCACCAGGCAAGGGCAGCAGGCGCCAGGCAGGGCAGAAGGCGCGGCGGTATCGGCACCAGGCCAGCACCACGGCGAGCGGCACCGGCGCGGGCAAAGCCGAAGGAGACGGACAGGAAGGCACACAGGCAGGCAGGCAGTGGCGCGGCGGCGGCTGCAGGGGGCTGGTGAGGGCGCTCACGTGCACTCAAACAGCCGCAGCGCCGCCTTGTTGCCGTAGCAGAAGCGGTTGGGCTCTCCCTCCTGCAGCCAGCCAGCCAGCGCCTCGCGCCCTTGCTGACCCCTCGCGCGGCCAACAAAGCCTGGTCCACTCCCCCACCCACCCCCATTGCAGCCAGCTCCACACCAGACCAGAACATCCTAAACCACACACACCCATGTCGGCGCGCACACACAAACACAGCCACACAGCCACACACACACACACACACACAGCACAGCACAGCACAGCACAGCACACACACACACACACATTTACACAAGCAGCGCACCTCTATGTCGTGTGCCAGCACCGCAAAGGGCGCCTCCCACAGCTCCCGCGCCACATCGCTGATCTCGATCTCGCGCGAGAAGATGGGCCTGCGGGCGGAGGCGGGCGGGGCAGGCCTCGGGGCAGCGTTGGGCAGGTGGCGGCGCGCGCCCCGCGGCAGGCGTGCACCCAGGGGCAGGCGCTGGCCCGGGGGGCACAGATGCACCTGGCGCGCCCCTCCAGTAGCCGCCACTGCTCGCTTGGCGGACACCCCTCAGCTTGCAACACGCGCGCGCGCGCGCGCACACACACACACACACACACACACACACACAGCTACACGCATCCCGCCCACCTGCCCGTCTTGCGGAAGTGCGACTCCACCAGCAGCAGGTTCTGCATGATGACGGGGTTCTGCGGCAGTGTGGGGGGGGGGGGCAGAGCAGTCGCTTTGTGAGGGAGGCAGTTTGTGAGGGAGGCAGGCGACGGCAGGGCGATGACGGCGCAGCCCGCGGCGGTGGGGCGAGGTGAGCCGGCGGGGGAGCTGCGCCAGCGGCGCTGAGCTCTCGGGCCGGAGGGCGAGCGCTAGGCCACCCTCGTGCCAGCGCAGGGGCAGGGCCTGGCCCAGGACCTGGCCCGGTGCTGCCGCTCTGCACTGTGAACAAGCCTCAGGCTGCCCCGCGAGCCCCCTGGCAGGGCCAGTCAGCAAGGCCTCCCGGCAGAGCAGCGGCAGCTGCCACCGGGGGGCACCTGCAGGTACGGTTCTGCCGGCTTGGGCGGGTTCATGAGGCTGCCGGCCCCCTTCTTGCCGCCGCCGCCGCCGCCCTTCTTGCCGCCCTTCTTTGCTGCTGCCACGTGTAGCTGGCGGCGGCCGCGCGGCTGCTGCTGCTGCCGCCCGGCGGGGGCGGCGGCTGGCGACGGGCGGCAGCCTGCGGCATGGCGAGCCAGCACATTGGCGGCGCGGTTGGATGGGAGCCATGAGGTGGCTGCTGGGATGCCGTGGGAAGGTTGCAAGCCTGCAGGGAGAGGCGGGCGAGACCAGGCGGCACGAGCTCACCTGCGGCGAAGGCTGGCCCGGCCACACGTGTGCCCATCATTCTGCATCGCAATGCAAGAGGCGATTGAGCAAGCAGTGGCAGCCATCGGCGGTGCATGTCGGGGAGATGGCAGTGGACTGCCGGCGCTGCTGCCCAAATCGGGCACTCACGTGCTGGACGACATGGCGATCTATGTGGGACAGCCGCTGGCAACCGGTGTGGGAACCCGTGAGTTTCGCCTGCGGGGCTCTGACGTGGCCATTGAATGCTTGAATATATGCTTCAAACAGCCCCCCCGGTGCCTGACCCTGCTCTTGATCGCTGAAAGAAGCCACACAACACGGCCAGGCACCACTCTACTCGCCTGGGCTCGACATCCGCTTGCTGGCTTGCTTCAGGCGGCAATAGCTGTGAGAAAGGAGGATCCTGGTAGTGCAGAGCGCCATGGTGCGCTACTCCAGCGCTGGGACGCTGCGCTGGAAGCCTGCAAGCGCCGCGGGGCCGGGCGGGGCCGCGTGCTGCCGCCGCACCGCTGCCCGACAACCGCAGTGGGCCTGCTGCCTGCAACTCTCCCCGCCATTGTCGCCCTTCTTACCGCCTGCCCACCCCCACGCCGTCCCGCAGGTGGACCCCTCGCTGGTCCCGCTGACCAGCCCGCTGCCGCCCAGCCTGCTGCCGCCGCTGGCCATGGGTTTGCTCATCGCCGGCCTTGTCACCTCTGCGCTGTTCTACGTGCGGGAGCAGATCGGCGGGCGGCGCGTGAGCATGGCGGAGGAGGCGGCGCTGGCGGGGGCCGCCGCCGCCTGCCTCGGCTTCGGCACGCTGTTCCTGCTGCTCTGGTGCGGCGTCTATGTGGGCTAGCAGCGGCAAGGGGCGGCCGCCGCCAGCTGCCGAACCTTCGAGCCTCAACCTCTTCTTCCGAACTGAGGGCTGCCTTGCATCGTGTTTCTTTTTGGCATGTAATGTGATCATCACTGAGCAAAACCGAGCGAGAGCGCCTTTCTTTAAACCGGCCCGGAGAGGCAGAGCTTTGGTTACACTGTGGCGGCGACGGGGAGGGGGCGTTGCTGTTTGCCAGAGGGCAGGCAGCGCTCTCGCCCCCCCCGCTGCCGCATGTATTGGGGGGGAGATATTCACATGCGTGCATGCGCCGAGGGCATGCGAGACATGCAGGCAGGCAGGCAGAGCGCTCGGTCCGCCAGCCACGCCACGCGGGCGGGGCGGGCAGAGCGAGGGGAGAGAAGGAGCAACAGGGGCGGGACGCGAGACGAGAGGAGGCAGGGAGGGGTGTACACGCAGTGCTGGGCAGTTCATCAAATGGTGTTGGCCGT